GAATGGTGCAGGCTTCTGCACAGGCATGGAGATGGTGGGCTGGATAGTGCCCTCCAGTTAGAACAGCATTAAGAGTTTTCTCCAGGGTATGCTGGACCTTTTAGAATGAAGTCTCATCTCCCGTCTGGTACTGGCCCACATCAAGAGGCTCTAAAACAAAATATGTGTTCTTTGTCATGGAGGTCACCAAGAACACAGAAGTGTGGTGATATTTTGTTGGTGATCTAACAAATAAAGCTTGCCTGAAGATCAGAGTGTGGAGCTAAACCACTAGTTAGCCACAGAGGCCAGGCAGGGGTGGCGCACACCCTTAATCCCAGCACTTGGGATCTCACACACGCCTTGAATCTCAGCACTAGGGAGGCTGAGACAGGAAGCTACATGGCCGGGTGGAGAAAGGACTATAAGGTAGGAGTAGAAAGGAGCTCGGTCCTCTTCAGGTTGAGGATTCCGTAGAGGTAAGACGTGGCTGTGGCTTGCTCCTCTGTCTCTCTGATCTTTCAGCATTTACCCTGATATCTGGCTCTGGGTTTTTACTAAGACCAATTAGGATTCGTGCTACACAGAAGAAAGAGAAACAGGAAATTTGAGCTAATGGGAAAAAAATACATAAGAAAGACCTGTATAATTGGAATTTCATGTTTAAGCTCTAGACAAGACAAAAGGACATTATGTTTCATGGTTATTTACTTACTGTATGACAAACAGGAATACTCTACCTATGATAATTTGTTTCAAATGGTTACCTACTGTGTGATATACAGGAATATTCCGTGATTCTCAACCTTGGAGTACAAACTTATGTTAAAAATGAACAAGCACCATGAAACCACAAATAAAATGGTACTTACATTCATCCATGTGCCCTCCAGTTCTTGTCCATACATCCCTATCACCTTGCACAGTTATAGCTACTATATATGTGTGTGTGCATGCATATATATACATATATATGTATATGTATACACACACACATAAATACACAATTTTGCAATCTGTATCTTAGTAAGTTTTTGCTAGCTATATTCTTTTGTATTAATAAGCAAACATCAAAAGTTAAATTTTTATCCAATTCGTGGCATTCCACTACAGATCCATCAAAATTTACTTAACCAGAAGGATTTGTTGATTCTTAGGCCTGCAATCCCAGCTACTTGAGAGAATAAGGCAGGAGGATCACTAGTTCAAAGCCTGCCTGGGCTACAGAGTAAGTTCCAAGACCAGTGTGGGCAACTTGTTTTGACTGTTTCAAAATAAAAAAGTAAAAAGAAGGCTGTAGAGTGACTGCCTAGCATGCACAGGGCCCTAGGTTCAATTACTAATATTGAAAAGAAATTATACCTGTTGAATAAATGAACCATTTTTCTAATGCTGGACACTTTGTTCTAATTGTTTATTTTTACAAGTAACACTGTAATGGATACCTAGAACATGGGTCATTTTTCTCCTTTTCTTGGGACAATCTGTTTCTTAGAACACATTTCCCCAAACAGGATTATAAGATTGACTTCTGCCATGTACTGCCACCATTTACAAGTTAATGTCACTCAAATAAGGTGGCTACCTTAGCATCAGATTTTCATTTTGTTTTTCCTTAGTTTTAAGGGTAAAGATGAACTAGGTTAATGTTTCAATTGTCTGTCTTTAAATACCCTAATGCTAGATGTGTTCTCATGTATATACTTACTTTGTGATGTAATGTGAATGGCTTTTACTAATCTACCTCCTGAAGAGTTCGTTCAGCCAGTAGTTCTGGAACATCTACCTCATGCCAGGGCTATACAGACCTTCTCACTACTTGCATGACTTCTGTACATAATATAGAAATTATCTTTTTCTATATGCAGACCATTTTCTGGGCATGATTTCCTTTTTGTTATTATTATACTTTTTCACAGTTGAGTTGGAGATATGTGAATCTTTTGGTCTATCTTCTGACTTTCTACCTTGTTACAACTTACATGGTGATTTCACACCTAGGGATTTGATAGTCTATTTCCTGTGGTCTTTGTTCAAAGTATTCTAAGATCCACATAAATATGTTCTCCGATAATTAAAGTTCTTATCCATAATTCCTAATTCTTCTGCTCTAACATAAATAACATTTTTACTAGAAGCATGTAATTTAGAATAAAAACTTAGATGAGTTTTCTTTATCCACCACATGTGGTATGTTGTATTAAAACTAGTTGTTTTGAAGCTACCTTGTTGCAATCAGAAGGGACCTCAGATGTATCTGAGAAGGGCTGACCCCATGCAAGCCTTTGTAAGAGGATACTGTGCTCTCTAAAGCCAAAGAAAAAAACAATGGATCTGCATGAGGCTTTTCATCTTTAGGCCGCTTTAGAGTAAAACCCTTTTGTGACTCAGAGCAGTGGAGGCCCAGACAAGTAGCAGTGTGACAAGCAGGATCTCCAGCCCTATGGCACCATGTGCACATCCGCATTTGAGAAGCACTGAGGGAGACCACAGGAATCTTCCAGAATTAAGACTTTTTTAAAAAAAAAAAGCACTCATAAGTTTTGATGCTCCTCTTAATCATGGACCACCAGAAAGTATCCCTTCCCTATCAGGGTTCACCTGCTACCCTTTTAAAGCACCCCCTTAAAAATAAACACGGATGGCTCAGGCCAGAAAAACAAGCAAAGTGATCTCCTGTAAGAAAGGACAATCTGAACTTTGCACCCACGATGTTATCTTGAACTGAAGTTGAAAAGCCGAGTGCCTATGTGAGCACAGTGTTCTAGTATGGCAATAGGCTCCCACCCTGTGTCAAGAAGACTACAGAGAGAGCTGGAGGCCATGGCAAGCCTCGCATAGCAGCCTTGCTCTCCCTAAAGGAACAGCAGCAATTTGGCTTCAGCCTAGTGTAGCCAAATGGGAACGTAGGCTTGGTGGTGCCAAAACTTCAGATATTTCAGGAGACAGAAATGTGGATGCTTAAAAGTGTGAAAGCTCTCGAGTTTTCAAGGCTGGCAACTCACTCGCATTTTAAAAGAACACCTCTGCATGCCAGATCCAGCCTACCAGCTTGAGACCATGGTTCTAGATGGAAGAGTTCTGAACTCTTTAAGCCTGTGTGTAATCCATCTGTGCTGATTTGTATGCTGACTATGTGAGCTCCAAGAGAGGGATCACATCAAATCAACGGCACTATGACTACATCTTTGAAAATTTAGTTTGGTGAATATTTAAAAAAAAAAAAATCCTGCCAAATCAATAATGAAAATAACCATATGGCAGTTATACAAATATTTCCTAAACGTGAAACGTATCCAATTCATTAACAATATTATCATTTCTACAGTACAAATTAGAGCACTCATGTTTAGGCCCGCTCGTGTGTCTGCTAACAATTACGTTGTAAGGGCTGGAGAGATGGCTTAGTGGCTGCTTTTCTAGAGGACCCAGGTTTGATTAGCACCCACATGGCAGCTCACAGGGTATTGTAAATCCAATTATAGGGAATCCAGCAACCCCTTCTGGTCTCCGCAGGGACTGCACAGACATGTATGCAGGCAAAACACCCCCACACATAAAGTAAGCCTTTAGAATTTTTTATAAAAGTATTATGTTGTGTTCAACTATATTTCAAATAATTTTGTAACCTGAAGGCAGCCAAATGGAATAATATCAAGTCCTTGAATTGTAAACTTGGTGGAAGATAAATGCTGTATAAAGCTTTAAAAGGGAGACACCATTTTAAAAATTAAACCATCCTCCTGTGGAAATTGCAAACTTCATTTCCTTCAAAGGTTTAATTTGCCCAAAAAAATGTTTAGAAGTAGAGTGTGAAATGCAGTTTCCATTTGGACCTAGGCACAGCTGTATCTGCAGCCAGCATCACGCACTTTCTCGCTCATACCTGCTTATTACGGAGGTAGTGGAAATTAAATTGCAGGCGTCAAGGATGGGAGTGGAAGCAGGGCCTGGATGACCTTTTCAGTATTATTAGCAAGGTGGTACTTTATAAAGCAATTTTCAGTCTCCTTTACCTGGTAAAGGGAAAATAACCTAGGTTTGCCCTATACCACAGTGGATCTTTAGTGCTTGGCTTTTACCACAACACTCCTGCCTTGACACACAGTGGGGCTCAGCAGATTAAAGGAAGACTCAACACAAGATTCAGGGCTGTAATCCTGTGTATTTCTGTAGTGATTAAAAAGAATGGGGGGGGGGATTTCGCAGGTTTACCTAGGTAGAGACGATGGCAGAGCAACCTTTTCATGTATGAAACTGGAAATCTCAACAGGTACAGTGCTCGCAAATATGTCTCTCATTAGTACAGAGATGGGGGACAAGAGGAAGCAGTCACTTCTGCATTGTACCTGGAGTAGATCTCTCTCAGATGTCCCTCCTGTTATTTTCAAAGATGGGAGTCCCTTCTCTCAAGAAATAAGGAAGCCTGGATTACCACAGAGCATTAATCAGCCACAGGCTAAAGGAAGCAAAGGCTATCTAGCCAATGTGTGTGGTAAATGAAAGGTCCAAACAGTGTGGCTACATGCACCAATGGCCGCTTCAGAACTTGAGGGTAAACCAGAAAAAGCATACTGGCTCACGTTATGGCGGCCCAGCAGAAATGCTCCTGGGTGGTGTTACCACCAGGTTTTTACCGACTTGACTCCTTCCACCCAGGACACAGTGTTCCGGTCACCATCAGGTGTCCTTTCGCTCATCCCAGGCTTTGCTCCACGCAGCTTTCCTGCTCCCTACTGCTCACACTGCAACATGAGCCGCTCTTTCTTTCCAAGCAAACCTTCTGAAGGTCTGTGGGGCCTGCCACAGTCACTTCTATGTTCTCAAATTCAAAGCAAATGAGGCTTGTGCTTGAAAAGGCATTCCCCAGAGAGCTAATATTTAGGGTAAGCAGTAATATCGGTTGAGCCAATTAAAATAAACCTTCTTAAACTTCTCAAACAAATAAAGCCCTTGTATAATGCCACAAATTGGAAAGTTAGAGATCAGCATAAGAATCTGTAGCAATTAGTAGCTCTTACCTCACACAGGATGTGTTCCCGAAGGGCTGGACACAGCTAAAAACAGCTACCGGTTGCCTAAATTGGAAAAAAAATTAGCAAAATTACCTTTTTAGAATAAAAGTTAGAAATAAAAAAAAAAATCTTCCTTTGAAGACTCATGGCAATACATTCTCCTTTGTATTTATAACCCCAAAAGTTAACGGAAGACAGCCAAGATGGTCTGTACATTTCTGCGAATGTCTGTTTATCATATAACGTTAGCCCTGGCAGTGGCTCCGGCTCCCTCATTATCAAGCTGTATTAGCTCAAACTCTCAGCATTGTTAGGTGGGTGAGCTCATGGCCTATTTCAGTTTTAAATTAACACTTGGCAATCACCCGGGTAATCAAAACAAATGATTCAGTCATTTAGAAGAGATTTATTAGTTGAGCCTTTTTTCCTTTCTCTTTTAACATCTTTAGAATATTTTGCCACAGGAGGGCTCTGATCCAGTCAGAATATAGAGCACAAGTCACCAGAGGAATATTTAGGTGTTGCCATGGAGATGAGGTACCCTGTGACCACTGAAGTTATCTCCCATCAACAACAGGATTAGGATGCAGGCTAGTTTGCAGGTTCTTCCCAATGTGCATGGTGCTGTGGGACTAGGAAACAGGTGTCCCCTGGCTGCTGCTACCCAGGACACAAGTGCACAACACAATGTCCTCCTGACATACAGCTGCCCTGCAAACCCATACACATCCCCATCTTGTACCTTCTATCACTTGTAAAGGGAACCTGGTGAATGACAGCTCCCTGAGCAGGATCCTGGTTGGGTCTTGTTTATTTGAGAAAGGATCTCACTGTGTGATCCACACTAGCTTCAAATTCAGGATGCCCCTGCTTCCACCTCCCCCACTGCTGGCATCACAGGTATGTGTCACCACAATCAGCGGCCAACTGTTTTGTTCCCACACCCAGAACAGGCTCTCAGGAAGTTTCAGTGGGACAAACATAAAGCAAGGGTTGCTATCAGATCTGAAATCCCTCCTGTGCCCCCACAACCATTTCCAGGCTGTGACCACACATTTCATTTTTTGCGGGAACCAGACAAGAGCTGGTGCAGTTAGTTCTATATGCTGATATAGATATCTATAGATTTGCCTGTTTTTGAGATCTTGATGACGACTGTCATAGTTAAGGACAACTATTCCGAAGTCCAAATGAACACACTGTTAACTGAAAGGACAGGGTTCTTGCTGGCCAAGTCAAAAGCATGGCCAATCTGTGTCAGTGGTAAAGAGCTAACATTCAAAGAGAGTTCTTTAGAAGTGAACTCAGGCCAGGCAGTGGTGGTGCACACCTTTGATCCCATCACTCAAGGCAGATTCAGGCAGGTCTCTGAGTTTGAGACCAGCCTGCCTGGTCTACAGAGAGAGTTCCAGGACAGCCAAGGCTCCACAGAGAAACCCTGTCTTGAAAAAGAAAACAGTAACAACAACAAAAATGAACTCCGAGGACTACCTTTTACTCCTCTTCCCACCTACACAAGAGAAAATACTGTTATTTATTTCATGCTACCTTTTTGTTTTAATATTTTATGATGGCAGATAAAAAAACCTTTCTTTCCTACTTCTAGCTCGGCTGCAAGGCATGTCTATACAAAAATCTCATCTTTCGCCCACACTCCACTCATGAAACTTGCTGTTTCTAGAAGGTGCCACACCCTTGCATGCAGCTGTGAAAGAATACAGCGTATCACAGCTGTTTACAGACAGGCTGCCAGACTTGGACAGGCTGAGGTGAAACACTGGCTCTATCTTGTTAGCCGCCCAACCTTTCTGAATTTCCTAATGGTAACCAACCTCACCAAGGCAAACAATCAAACGAGTATGACACATACCGATTATTAGATACACAGCCATCACTTCTTAGCGCAGACAAGCACTTAAGACGCGATCAACTTGGGGAACAATTTGTTATGTTCCTACAAATACATCACACCAAATGTATTCTTCTTTTAGACCCAACCCACCTTTAATTTCAAACTTGAACTCCTCACACTCTAGTTTCAATATCCCATTTCATCTTACCCTTCCAGAACGGATTATTCCTGGAGATAGATACAATTTATATTGGGTTCTTCTAAAAGGGAATCTGGTTCTCTACTTAAAAGAGTCAGCTTCCCTCCTAAGATCTTGGCCCTACAAATGCCTTCTTGCTACCTATACAATTTCTTGCTGGGTAGGGAGGTACTACCAGTCAGACGATGCTGAAAGTCTTCTATTAACCAGACCAGGCTACTGGCTATCCATTCCAGAAGTCCTTGCATCTCATGTTGCCTGGCACCCTCCAGAGGGCAGGAGAGAGAAAGAGTTGGACTGAGGAGGCAAAGCTCATACACTGGGGTTCAGCTGAGCCTGATGGAGCCGTTTTCTATGCCCTAACTGAGAGCTCCCATCAGTGACACGGAGAAAACTCACAGTGAGACCTGGCCTGCATCTGCATCTTCCCCTCACTTTCTTCTCTGTACTAGTTCCACTTACCACTAGCTGGGGTTATGAGAATAAAGACACAGTAGGCATTATATGTGTGCACTTCTCACTACGTAGAACAGAACCATGGCTTTGAGCAGACATAATGCAAAACAAAGACAAAAAGCAGAACAGCCAAACCTTGAGTAAATGTAATGACAGCAAATTAATCTTAAACAAAACTGAAATACTATAGAGTCAGTTACACTTTCAAATAAATCCTGCCAAGTTTACCCTAGTCTGACAAATTACTAAGTCAAATTACAAACACCATTTTGTTATTCTGGAATAAGCCAGACATTTCTTTCATCTTTGAGGCATTTAAGACACTTCAGGTTTAATGAAAGTATTCTGGTCAAAGACACTGATGACCCTACCATAACTTTCAGCCAAGCTTAAAGGATCCCCAAGTTGCTAATAAATCAAGTGAATTATGTGAAAAAACAAAATGCAGAGACAACAGCTGTTTAAATGAACTTAAATGACCAGTTGAATCATTCAAAACGGATGATCTCCATGTATTCATTGTTTCCTTTCAGATGCCTTGGGTGTGATTGTCATGGCGACCATCCCTTAATCATGTTCTTCAGGATACTATGTTCCACCTAAGAAATCAAAGAGGGGTGAACTCTTACTATCCCCTTAATTAGAGACACTTGTGATGGTAACCAATAGGCTCAGACTTCCCATTTACTCTACTTTACTTATTTCCCTACTTGTATTAATATGTTACCATAAAATGCAATAATAAATCTAGCTGAAATGTCTGCTGGCTCCTTTCCTCTAGAAGAACTGAAAATAATTTACTGAGATAAATGGTTTGATAAAAGATGCCTTTGATAATTTTAATAATTTCAACATAAGACCTGTAACATAACTAGCTACTCAGTAATACATTAGTTTAATAAAAGAAAAAATTTACAGTATATTTTCAGTCATATAAATGTTAACACTGTCTAAGTTTTATTATTAAAATAAGATTAAGTATATAGAATATCTGATAATATACTCTTGTACTCTGGAAAATCATTTATTACATACAAGTTTTTACATTTATTTAGTGTTTTTAGAAATATGGAGCACCTCACAAATGTGCATACCATCATCATGGATGGCCATGCTAATCTCCTCTGTACTACCTCCATTTTACTACCCACGCCGTCTAACTGAGCATTTCTTTTTGTTGGGGATGTGAGGAGGAGGCACACTCACTTGTGAGCGTGTACAGGGAAGTTAAAACTTGGTGCCTTCCTTGGTCACTTTCTGCTTCAATCTTTGAGACACAGTCTCTCTCTGAACTCAGAGCTCACCAACTGGCTAGAGTAGCTAGTCAGTAACTCCCCAAATCCTCCTGTCTCCATTCTCCACAGCACTGGGATTATTACAGACATGCAGCCTTGCATAGATTTTTTTTTTTTTACAAAGGTTCTAGAGATCTGAACTCGGGTCATCATGCTAGTGTGGCAAGAACTTTGTCCACTGAGCTATTCCCTCAATCCCTCTACATTTATTTAAGCACTCATAGGCTTCTTCACAATTTAGAGAAGCGTCATCATTATACAGTTTGGGGAAAGATCCGTTCTCTTCTTTAAAGGCATCTGTTGTATGCGCTACATATTTAAAGTTGCCATCAGTCCAGATTTTTCTACAGATTTCATTTCATTCAAAAACTACAAAGTACACAGATTTCCCAAAGTTAGAGCAATGAGGCATTTTAAAACTGCATTGGAATAGATGTGAACATGTTTTGATAGGTTTTCAAACCAGTTAATTAATACGCTGTGTCTTCCCTCTAAAGCAGCAAAAGGTGGAAGAGTGAAAAGTACATCTCGCCATTCCTAATTCCAAGGCTAAGGACCAAGCTCTTTCTATGACCATTGCTTGATACAAGTCTCAGGGACCTTTGGCCAAAAGGGAGAAGAATATATATTTGTCTACTTTTTTCTGAAATGTTAAAATATTTATAATATTTACAAATTTCAAGAGCCATTTAAAATAGATGTGAAACCAGACCTATTAGACACTCAGAAAAAATGCATACAAAAGCATGAGTCAAATAGTGAAATCCAGAAAGGAAAATGGAGTGACAAATATTTGCTACAGTCAAAGGTAAGCCCTTCACATTCTTGTCCTTTGCCCTAATGTTCAATGGTATTTTTGTTGTGTTTTAAAAATAAGAAGATTGATGTTCTTTCAATGACCATTACTGTTGCTCCCAAATAAAACAAATGATAAAATACAAATTCACTTAATTGACTGAGAGAGAGGCTTGAATTAGTCATTGCCAAGTTTACAACTTTCCCACAACTCCAAGCATTCTTTCATATTAAAAAGAAAACAGCATTTTCCCCTTCTGACATGACGACTATGGGTAGCTTTTCAGGCAAATATAATTTCTTTTTTTATCTAACTCTCTGTAGACCACTCCCCAACCTAGAGCTAAATGGAAGGCATGAAGGACAGGACTGTGTAGAGCCCATATGACAATTCTGACAGCCGCACTGGAGCACCACAGTTACTCTAAGACGGTCCCCATGAGCACCCCTAAACCGTGCCCATTCT